CCAACTTTTACAGTTTAGTGTTCATTGCTGCCCATGGACACCTGCTAAAATTGAATCATAGCTGGAATCCATGAAAAAGGACAATCACAAACATGGATAGATGTTCAATTAACTCTAAATGGCTTTTTTATCCCTTGTAAATGAGTCCCCAGGATCTGGACCCTAATATGTTGTGTATTCCTCTTTGAAGTGCTGTAATAAATCAGACTACCATTGGGCACTGATCACCAGAGACTTGCTTGATGGACTAATGCATGTATTTCTTTCTTAGGCAGCCAGCCAGCCAAAGGGTAACATCTGTGTGACAAAACAAAAAAGTGGAATGTTTGAGCTTGTAATTCACATGATAAATCAAGGCGGAATATTTTAGCTATTCAATAAAATCACATTACTTGGCAAAGGGCCACTACAGCTTCTGACTGAAATTTTTGTCATAATGGATTTGGTTTAAAATTCACATTAGCCTTAAGAGTAAACCTAATTTTACAGAAAACTTTACTTCACGTGCTAAAGCAGTTTGTCATAACGGTTCAGACAAAAGGTCATACTTTCTTGTTAATTAATTAAATGTACTAATTGTACCACAGTGGTAACTGCCAAAATACCATAACTAGGCTACTACATTTAATAAATATTGAATAAATACATATGGATCTTGTTTCATTTGATCATTGCCCATTTACCACAGTTTTAATGTATAACTATAAATATGTTAACTACAGTAATCTTGATAAAGCGCTGACAGCATTACTGTGTATTCGAGTTCTAATTTTACGTGAGGCTACTGCGCATGCGCATGTCAACACTTTTGAGTTCAGTAAGAATGGCACTGCGCGTCTTGAGATTCAGTTTGGCTTTGAATCGCAGTTTACTCAAAACAACTGTTGTCTGCAACAAACGGCAGTTGTCAGAAAAAGCGTCCTCCAATCCGAAAGCATCCGTTTCTACTGAAAATATCGATCATGTTCTCTACACAGAGGAACATTTTGCATTAAAGGCATCTTTGAGAAAGGTAGATATGACCGCGTGCTATTGTATTGTGTCTTTAACAAATGTACTATTCTCTGGCGAGATTAATGTTGATTAAGTTTCTTGATACCTGATTATCACACTCACATGAATGTGCAGGTCGAATCTTTTTCAGCAAGCGAATGTAGGTAAGGGGTCACTTACTGTATCAAGTAGCTAGTTTCAACTGGGTCGGTTGTATGAATTGCTTGGGATTTCATTGTCAGTGTCGGACATAAAGGATTTTATGGAAGGATTTGTTTGATATAAAGATACATTTTCAATGTTAATAGATGAATTGTCAAGATTAACCGCTTTGTTTTGATGCTTCCAGGAAGCTATGATAGTCACGTGACGCTCAAGTTGATTATGGCCTGCTGTCAACTCCAGGCTAAAAGTTATACAAAATAAATAAAAACTTCCCTTCTATACCATTTAAATAAAAGTTTATTTTTCATGTTATTTACATTTCAGATTATTTCCAAAAAAGTTAGTTTCTCAAAAAGGTTTATCTTTGATTATTATAAGAATTAGAAGTCATTGAGGAATCTCTCTCTATATCTATATTTTAAAAATGTCATATTTAATTTACTACTAGCTAATCTTTTGTGTTAGCAAGGCCACGACTTTTCTCCAGTGCATGGAGAAAAAAAAATCCTTTCCATTACACGTCATTACCTTCTCTAAGGCATGTGATAAATATTTTAACATGAATTATATTTGAATTAATAAGATTTAAATGATTGAAAGTCATTATAATTATACAACTGTGTAAACTAGGAAGGGTTACAGGGCTTGGGAAGGAAGTTGATTTCTCCAATTCAAGTGTGTCAGAATAGGCTTGTATGAGAAAGGATATAAGTGGAAAACAGAAAAAGCAACGGATGATGAAAACAATGCCGTAGAGTGAAGCTCAGGGACGGAGTTTATTAAAAGAACTCACCAGAGACAGTGAAACATTGAAAACAAGTTAGAAAAGTCCTTGACATAGAAGCATGTAATGTTATTATGTGTCTAAATGAAAGGAAAGACTGATGTGAAATTTAACAGTGCATAATATTTGCAGGCTTGATTTTATTTTTCAGCCTTTACTCATGCTAAAAGTATTTTACAATAAAATGCACTTCTTCTCAAGGTCACCTCATGACTTGAAGAAATTCTTCACACAGTACTAATCTTACGTAATGCATGTCACGTCAGTTATGTTCCGATTGAAATAAAGGGAGTATGATTTAAAAAATCTAAATGTTTCATGCACAAATAGGGTTACCACTTCCAGGAAACATTACCTACTGTTATTCAGTTTAGTTCAATGGGCATGTCTTCTGGGTGCATAAAGTGTTGACAAACTATAAGTCAGAGTTCTGGACTCCACCAAACAATTCTCAGCTCGGACCGACAAGAGAATTGTGGAATGTATCACCATTCTTTATTAAGAATTAGGAACCTTATACTGAAGGTTCGAACAGGGTGGACCGCTCTTCCTTTCTGACTGTATTATCCAGTCACAGTCTTCTGGGTTTTGAGTAAACCTGTACTAAATAGGCCTGTCACGATAACAACTTTTTGTTGTGCGATATATTGCCCCAGAAATAATTGCGGTAAACAATATTATTGTAATTTTAAGACCATTTTATGCCACTGAATATATAATCATAATATAAAAGCATAATAATGCAAGAAGGCCAACACACACTTTCGAATGACAACAAACTTTTAATTCTTCAAAATATTTAGATCATGGAAATTAAGTATCAAAATATTAGATACCTGAATAAATAGTAAATAAACATTTTCTAACAAAAAGTGCAAAGTAACAAGTAGAAAAAATAAAAATTCACAAATAATTTGTATGGAGATTTTTCCATCTGCATATTTTTTCCCGGACCTTCTTTTCTCTGTAAATTAAGGGTGCACTGTATTGCTGAAAAACACAATCACTACTTAGCAGTAGGGTTGGGTACCGAAACCCGGTACCAATATGGCACCGGTAACTTTGTAACTGGTATGTACTAGAACTGAATCCGAACGCAGATTTCGGTGCCATGCCTGAGCGATCGATTGAAATATTTGTCCTCTGGTTCTCCGAAACGGACGTAAGAAGCATCATCACTGAAAAATAATTTTCCGACTGAGAAAATGCACGTGAACTCAAGTCGGAAAGCTCTAATAATACAAATCCAACACATCTTTGTAGTAACGAGAGTGTCCATGTTGTTTTCACATTCAGACTTAAAAGCACAACTCGGTAAATGAGAGCACTTGCTCTGATGGCAGCGGGTAGCCTTCTGTTAACTAAGCTAAACATGCTTAAATTAAAATGCCTAAAGCTAAACCTCCCTTGTATTCACATTTCTAAACCTGTTGTCCTACAAAAGAGAAAATTATAACCTTTTTACTCCACAACACCAGTCAAATGCTTCCTTTTGTTATCTGATGAGGCTTCTTGTCACAGAATGAGGCAGAAAATATGTTCTATATGCTACTTTAAAAAGAATACATCGATTACCAATAAATTAGGGTGACCATACGTCCTCTTTTCCCCGGACATGTCCTCTTTGTCCTCGATGTATGTAAGATGGCGCCGACGCTGATGGCTGCCTCCGTGGCGTGCTCTGCAGTTGTTTTTATGTTTTTGTTAGTTTGTCCTGTCTTTAGTTATATCCCTGCAATCAGTTTCACCAGAGACGAATTGCTGGACATTCGGAAGTACACACCACCCGATATTTCACCGGTTTTCGACTATTCTGATTTTTTGCTGGACATTGTTGTCGGGGGAGCTGCAGCGCTGATCAAACGCTTCAGGACGCGCAGACGGGGGAAGCGATCTCTCCCGTGAACTGCCAAAAATACAGACAGCACATCACATGTCCCACCAGAGACAGTAATATATTGGATCACTGTTACACCACAATAAAGAATGCATATCACTCTGTTCCACGGGCAGCTTTGGGGCTCTCTGCTCACTGTTTAGTTCATCTAATACCGACCTACAGGCAGAAACTGAAATCAGCTAAACCTGTATTAAGGACTGTAAAAAGATGGACTAATGAAGCAGAGCAGGATTTACAAGCTTGTTTTGACCTCACTGATTGGAGTGTTTTTGAAGCTGCTGCCACCGATCTGGACGAGCTCACAGAGACGGTAACATCTTATATCAGTTTCTGTGAAGACATGTGCATTCCTACCAGGACTCATTTAACTTACAACAATGACAAACCATGGTTCACTGCAAAACTCAGACAGCTCCGTCAGGCCAAAGAAGATGCTTACAGGAAGGGGGATAAATGTCTTGTATAAACAGGCTAAATACACACTGGAAAAGGAGATCAGAGTGACAAAGAGGAATTATTCTGAAAAAATAAGGA